TTGACGATGGAGCACATTATTATTATTATTAGAATTAAGGTAATTACAAATTTATTGTAACAAACATAATACAAATATGTAATGTAACAAGCACAATATTGTAACTTAAAAAAAATAAAAAAAAATTTTTAGCCTTGCATCCACAAGAGTATTGGAATTGCAGTTCTGAAGATGGGAATAAAAGGTCCCGAAACGTAAACTAGACTGTTAACATGTAACATTAAAAATATACTCGTATTGTTAATAATTGGAAGTTATTATTGCCAAGGAACTAAATAAATTGACAACTTCCCAGGAAAAAAAGAAAAGATTATTGTAAAGTTCATGTGCAGAAAACAGTTCACCTAGACTTCCTTTTCAAGATTCCAAACTAATGACCTCGTAAAGCAGTGATGTAGAAAAAAAGAGAAGATGTGGTACTAACAATATAACTCAAAATATAAAGGATCTCAGATTACTCAAACACTTTTTCACTATTCACTGCCCTTGCTAGATAGGTATATTACTTTACTTCATTAAAAATGACTGTCTACAACAGAAGAATGTATATAAATCCTAGTACTTCACCCGTCATATCAGTCAATGTTATAACATTATATTGGGAAGTTCATAGTGGTTCTTTTTTCCAGTAACTGGAAATCTCTCCATAAAACCATATTATTTTATTAAGGAAGTGAAAGTATTTAAGTCATTCTAAATTTAGTTTTAAGCAGGGGTCGAAAATAAGAGTTAACTTTTATTTTTAAAAAGTTTAAGTTATACTTATACTTTTTTTTTCTTACATGAAGTTTTTATTGAACTTAAACTTTTTCATTATGATAACTTTTTGTAAAACTTGTATCCAAATAACTGTTTAATAAAAATTCACTACAGTTATTCTGAAACTTATTCATAAGGTTTTTAGGCAAAAAAAGTAATTTCAGAAATATACTTTTTATATATTTTATACAATTATACAAAAAATTACCTTAATCACCTTTAGTTATTCTTTCACAACAGTTGCATATATTTCCATTAGCTGATACAACATATTTGAAAAAACGCCGAATGAACCTGTCGTTTTTATGCACCATCTTAATTCACACTGAACAGTTTACTCGCAAGAAATAGCTAAAATTTAAAAAAAAAACGTTCTGAAAAGAGGTGATAATGATTGGGCTTGTTTTGATTCGAGAAGAATGAAATGACAGGATAGGAACAATATCCCTATGAATAGTCTTATCACCAAAATAAACAACGATATGTGTAAACATTCACTCACTCATTGATTTTAGTTGTTCAAAAAGTTTAGGCGAACTTTGAACTTTTTGAAGAAAAAGTTTTATCGAAAAGGTATAAGAATAATTTTTATTGCAGGATCTTTTTCTTAATAAGTTTGCTAAATACTTTGAAAATCAAACTTACTTAAAAAAGTTTATGACCCTTTCGACCCCTGGTTTTAAGTGTGTTGTAACATGTCATTTTTTACCCTGGTTTATAACCATTTATAATAGGCATTTTCTCTCTAAGTAGAACCTAAAAAAGAGTGTTTTTTATGTGCATTTTTTTTTCCTACCCCTTTACCATTTTCTGAAGGGTTTCAATGAAGTGTTTCCTCCACATAGCTGCTTACTTTTATAAGAAAAGATGAGCTAATGTTTTACTTACAACTTTTAATTTCATTCTGATAGCAGCAAACTGTCTTTTGAACTTTCTACTCACAGAAATACATGATAGAGATAGGCACTAAAGATATTTATATGGGTACCTTCAAGTAAAGTACATTGAATTCCATGGTTAATTACCTTTGTTTAGTTTCAAGGTTAATTTTTTCTGTTAAGTTACATGATTAGTTTTCTTTATTTAAGTTAAAACTGTTAAAGTAAAGACTTTCAAAGCTGAACTCAAAAGCACTGCATACCTTGCAGGAGAAAACCATGCAACTTCGAATAATAAATTCATATCAAAAAAAGTATTTTGTTCTTGGTTTGAAACTTTAACCAAAGGAATAACTATACTAATGTCCAGTATTTTCTAATAAGTATTTTTTCAAGTTTTTAATTATAATACGACTATGCTAATATCCATTAAGGTTAAAAAAAAAACAGCCAATCTTAGTGTAGCATCAATATAAGTTAACATCTTAAATGTAAAGGAACTACCTTTTTAATACCCTGTCCAGATAATCTGATTATATAAATAAAACAGAGGTTTTGGTGCTGTTTAGTCATGATACCAATAGTTTAGCCTCTATTCTTCAAAGTAAGGCTTTGGAGTGTTTTTTTTTTTTTTTTTTTTTTTTTGTAAAAATAACAGTAAATGCGCCAAATAATTAAATGTAAATAGCAGTTGCACAAGTAGATTGGAAGTATCATGCATGAATAAGTAGTTTCTATACATTTAGTATTCTTAGCAGGAGTAGTTTCCTTATTATTTTTTTCTCTGTAGTTTATTTTATTTATGTAGTAGTTTACTTTTTTCCTTTGGTTTAGTTTAATATAAAGGGGGCCGTGATGGTCGAGCGAGTTAAGATCCTACAAAAAATATGCTACAAGTTTAAATCCTGTTGGCGGGATTTAATAACAAAAAAATATATAAATAATTAATAATAAATTAAAATAAATAAGTACATTTCCTACTCGATTGCTTAGACCACTACGGCACAAGTTCAATTCCCACATGGGGACGGTAACGTTCCCATCCTGAGATTCACAGGAAGGTGAGCAACTCCTGTGTCTAACAACATAGCTCCTTGGTCCTCCAGATAGGAGGTTGGGTACAGGGCTAATAACCCTATCCCATAAAAAAACAACAGGATAGAGATGTCTGCAAAAGGTTGCCAACCATCCTCATGAAGAGGAAGTGATTTGTGATCGTGTCGGGTTATTATAAACCACGTGTTCCCTGGATATCTACATAAGAGAACCAAACGATCACAGCTGCTGCCTAGAACAGCCCCAATTCTGCTAGAAGATTAATGGTGGAAGTCAAATAAGTCAAGAGGTGTTAAAGTTTAATATAGAAGTTAATTTTATTTATATATATATATATATATATATATATATATATATATATATATATATATATATATATGTGTGTGTGTGTGTGTGTTTACCAGAAGACTTTCTCTGGTAAAAATATCTTAAGGTGAAGAAAGAATTGAGATGGATAGTGAAGCAGGGAATGTCAACCCTCTAACTGACAATTGGCAAGTCAACATCATGTGGTCCAAAAGCCTGACAGTAGTGTGCAATCTTCCGGAGACCATAGACAACTGTATTTGTAGACTGTGCCAGATAGTTACGGATTTCCAAATGCCACTAGTTTTAGAAGTATATTTTCTTTATACTGGACTTGGTTCATGAATGCATTCTTATAAATCAAAAAGTTGTCCTGAAAACAACTGTAATTATTCCATTTGAGTTATTTGAATAAGAAGATGTGTTTCAGTCAACTAAATGCCACAAAAACCTTATAGATAACCTCTTCAGGGACTTGAACTATGTTAGGGTACTCCTTGATGATATGGTAGTACATAGACCACACTGGAGGAACATGTGGAGCACTTCCATATAGTTTTCAGTTGTTTGGAGGCAAATAAACTCACTCTAAACCAACAAAAGTGAAAACTTGGAATAAATAACCTCAAGTTATTAGAGTACCATGTGAGCCTTGAGGTAATTTGACCAATCGAAGAATAAGCTGTGCACTTCAGCTTGCTGCAGGAGCTAGATGGAGTGCACATCTAGTATAGATTTAAGATTATCTGGTTTTCGGTGTTTAGTAGACTGGACTGGTAGACTGGGTGTGTTGGAGACCAATGCCGCATGTGTAGAAGGGGTAGGGTTATTAACAATGACTATCACCAATGAATATTGTAAATCTACCTGGCAACACTGTTTTTTTTTTGTAACCTTCTTATTTTACCTTGTTCATCTGTTAATTAATGCCAGTAGTATGTGTAATGTTATAATTTAGTTATTTTAGAAGTAAATTTTCGTTTTGTTTACATTGTGTTATTTTTCTTCATCACCAAATTTCCAGAACTCATTTACAATATGAGGGCATGCAACAAACTTTAGGTCCTTCCATGAATTTTTTTAAAAATTTTTATATTAGTATTTTTCTCTATGATATTCCAGTTTTTTCCTATTTATTTAGGGCTGAATCAAGTGGTATATTAGGAAACATATAGCATAAAATGAAACCAATTTATAATTTAGTAATATAGTTGTACTTAAAGTCAACCACATTAATTATGTTGTATGGGTTATTAGTAAATGATTTTTTTTTTATTTCCTGAAAGTATTTGGCTAATTTTCTTGTAAGGCTATTTTATCCAGAAATAATTGGTCTAATATAAAAGGATAGTTTTCCTTATTTAATTTAACTAGGCCATATATTAAAGGTGTTGTACTACGCCTATTGATCAGTTTTGTTCTATCTTTTTCATCAATATATTTATATTCATAGTGTATTGTAATACTTGCTTATTTATTTTTTCTATTAGAAATTCTATTACTAATATTCTATTCTTAATAGAAGTTTGGGTCAAAATTTAATTTGCTATATTTGGTTTTATCATCCTATTGAATTGTAACTTTGTGAATAACCCATTTTCTTGGGTGAATAGTATCTAAGTTTATATTGTTTTTAACAGTGTTATATAGGTGAATTATTGTATTTATTTATGGGATACTGTTTTTTAAGCTTTATGTTTTTGTCTTTATTTTATTAATAATGACGAGATTCATGAATGAGCATAAAAATATTTATTTACTGTAACATTTTAGATTGCAATCAAATACTAAATTTTGATTAATTTATTTATGACCAATAGGCAAATAAACCACTATAACAAAATTATTATGAAGAATAAAAAAACAAAAGATGAAAAAGAAGATTTCAACCCAACAAACCATTCCAATTACATTTGAAACCTAAATTGTATAGACATACATATAACTATTAAGACTAACTACATATTTTAAAAAAGATTAAAGATTTATAATGCAAGATACCTGTTTACATAATTAGCAAATGAAATTCCACAGCCTAATATGTCTCCTTTTTGGCATCTAGGACCAAAATCTTCACCAACACCACTTCCAATGAAAATTTTTCCATCATCAGCATGATATGCAATAGAGCCTTCATCCCATCCTGGGTGACGATTTTTTGGATAGTCCTAAAATATTTATTATGATTAGAGTAAAAATAATTATGGACTGACAGACAGCGATATTAGGAACAGCTGATATCGAAAGCCAATAGCCCAATACATGAAATTACACGAATAGTAGTAACATTTGTTATGCTAACACTAATTATGGTTTCATAAAAAATAGCTATTCCTGATCTAACCAAATGTTGGACACATATGAAACCTTAAACCCAAATAAATTCCCTGAAACTACTTATTTTGAAGTTATCATCCATCATATTAATTGAACAATGTTAAGTAAAATAATGATAAGATTTGTTATGCATAATTTATGTCACAGCATGTTTGGGAAGAAAAAATATATATTCTCCAGACAACTCTTTTATGCCTTAAGATTACACATGGAATGATAACTGGTATCACATAACAATGTTTTTAAGGCCTTTTAAGTCGTATTAAATTAACAGTGTAGCCAGAACACCCAGTAACATTCATTACGACTTTTTTCAATAAATATTAGGTACAGACCTACTTTCCAACTTCACACTCAAAGTATTAGAGATAACTAAAAAAAGTACCTATAATTTGAAATACCATCTTATAACAGCGAAATTCCCCATGGTTAAATATAAATCAACACAGCTCATTTCATTTCAAAGTATGAAGAACTTTACACCCTTGCATTGGGGATAGTAACATTTATTATGTTTTTTTCAATTCACAATAAGATATTTCTTCTTGTGGTTGAGATAGATTTATTTTAATGTTACCATTACATTCCTCGGGAAAAAAACAACAACATAATTTTACTTTAATCTGAAAAAAAAAATGTGCAACACGAATGTTAAGACCTGGTACATCAAATAGTCAAATAATAAAAGAATGATGCATAGATATCTAAATGATTGATTGAAACGTTTATTCAGAAATAAGTAGGATATTCGAGATGAAAGGATCTACTGATATAGACAGTTGAGCCGATAACAATATTTTAAAGGCCAATACCAGTTGTCGGTAAATAAAAATCTGCCTAGCAGTTGTTCTTTTCTATCTTTCGAGGTTCGTACTATTTTTCTTGAAATATTCTCCATATTGCTATATAACATGTGTCAATCAATCGTCTAGGGGGTCGACTGATATAAAAATTTAGCTGATAACAATATTTCTAAAACTGAGATATCCATACATTGGCTATTGGCCCTTCTTTTAGTTTTGACTAGAGTCGTACTGTTTTACTTGGAATATTCCCCTTACTGCTGAATAAATGTCTCAATCAATCTCCTGGAGATCTATTGAAAGAAAATTTTTAGCCAATACCGAAATTTTAAAGGCTGATATATATATATCAGCCTATCGGTCTTTCTTTTCTTTCCTGAGCACTAAATCAGTTAAACACCATAAAAGAATAAATGTTGTAGAAGATTTCTTGGTTTCACTCCTGGACAGTCTAGCTGATTTTTCTATGGCTAGGTTGGTACCTTAATTGCCTTTTTTTCCAGACCAATGTTTGTTTTTATTTTGTTTTGTTTTTTAATTATAGTGCCTCGATCTCCTTATCATTGAGATTGCAGCATTTGCCATCATGAAATATTTACATTATTTCAACTCACATTACATCTGCCCTCTATGTTGTTAGCACCACAAATTGAGCATGGAAACATATTGGCCTAAAAATAACAATATGCAATCACAAAAGATGTTTGACAACAGAGATTGTTTGACGAACAAGAATACTATTATAGCATATAATATATAATATTATAATGATATGCTTGCCTTCATTGGTCAGAAATTTCTGACTTTTCCATAATAAAGAAATTCTCAGACTTTTTTTCCAGTTTTATCAATCTGTAAACACCCTGTGCATTCCTGTCACTGCACAGCTGCTTTTCGCTGAGATCTTGAAGTTCTTAATCTTAGATATCAGCTGCAGTCTCATATAATATAGTATGGCAATACTGAAAGATAACTTAAATCAGATCTTTCTCTCATGTCTACTGAAACACAGAGAGAGAGCCAATGGTTTCCATATTAACTGGTGGAAGACAGACAGGTTTCAGTCCCTCCCTCCACCCTACAACTCTGTGACCTCTATCCCGCTGCCATTCATTTTCTTTTCTTCTAAGTCTTGTTTCTTGCCCAAGTGTTCAAGTTTTAGGGCCCACAGGTCTTTTAAATTTAAAGTCTGGCCTTCTTTCTCCTCTACCAGTAAAATCTTCTGCCCTTTACCTTCTTTGAAACCAGATTCAGATGTCTTCTTTTGTTTAATGGAGTTGAAATATTTCCATTCAACCTCCACTTCTCCACCCTAACAATAATTGATGATTTCCTGGTGAGACTATTCATTAAAAATACAATCTCAAGAAGATAATTCTAGTAGAAGACTTGACCAAGCATCTGAACCTGAAGGATGAACAAATGGCTGAACAAATTCTTCGCAAAAGTTAAACACTTGCATTTTGACAAGATTGGTTATTATCTGAACAAATTGAGAGACGCAATATGGTTTACAAGAAGTCTAAAATTTCTTTAGGACTCTTGGATGGAATTTTAATTTATGAGACTGTTGCCAACACAAGTGATTTAAAATTAAAGCAGTAATAATATCATAATCAACTTACTTTTTGTGTGAGCCCAATTGCTATATAGCAATTTTCACCTGGATCTATAATTTGTATTTCAAAGTAATGAAAAGTAGTATTCAATGGATTTCTCGCTTGAGCAAAGCCAACATCTAATATAGTTAACCCATGGCCAGTATATTCCAAGATCTGAAAACAATTGTTGTTCATTCAATATTTAAAAATAAAAATGAACAAGTAAATTTACCATCCTGTAATCACATGCATTTTCTTACCTGCTGGAAAGTTAAATAAAACAATGATGCTTATTAGAGCCAGAAGCTTAATAAAATAGAGATATAATACGAAGTGTCCAAAAGTGCTATTTATTCTTTGAATTACTACAAAATGCGAGTTGGCTGAGGCACTTGTCAACAGGGTAGTTTCTGTGTCCAGGCTTATTACCAAAACAATTACCAGCATACCAGTTTGTATCATGCTTATTTTCAAATGCAAAATACACAAACTGAAGTTTAAATTCGTCAATTTTTTTACTTCATCTTTGCAACAGTTTTGTTGCTTCAATTCAAGAAGTTAGTTCCAGCAAGACAGTGTCTCACTTGTCATATACAAAATCTTTCAATTGAAGCAGTAAAGAAATTATTTCCCAATTAACTGATTTCATAAATAAGTAACATTAGACACGTTACACCAAAAATGTGTTTGAATGAACATTTCCAACTTGTTGGATTGTTGGAGCAGTTTAGGCACAATAAAACCGAGTTTTGGCGCCGATTAATTACTGTAGATGAAACTTGGATACACCATTATACGCTCGAAACAAAAATACAGTCGAAACAGTGGACTGCAAAGGGAGAACCGGCTCCAAAAAAAGCAAAAACTGTTTTCTCGGCTGGGAAAGTGATGACGACTGTTTTTTGGGATGGAGTTGTTTTAATCAATTTATATTATATTATAAAAAGCTGGCAATGATAAGTACAGATAATTAATGTTCTGCTGCACGTCCTTGCAAAATTATTTTATCTAAAGTAAAGTCTATACCCAATAAGCATGAGCTGATCCCAATTTGAGTAAAAATTACTCAAGGAAATTGTGATCATATTTTACATAATTCGTGAAGAACAACTTCTTGTTTTAAAATCTTAACTTAATCGCTACAATCAATCGTATGACAAATAAATTAATATACTTATTTCATATCTTATTATTGTGAGATTAGCAATAATACAGGCAAGACTTAATAATAAACTTAATAATGTTCAAATGTTAAACCATTTACTAAGTTATAAGGTTTAAGTTACAACTTGAACCTTTACAAAACTTGATGCACTTGGGTATTTACTTGTATCATGTGTAATATATATATGGCAGAGGATATCAACCAGTTCCTAGGAATATTCCCTGTTTTGAACTGAAGTTCAGAAAAGGCTGCTTAGGTAGCAGCAATTAACTCTAGAGGAATCAATAAATATATTAAATGGATTAAATTAGGTGAAACTTGCCATATACTTATATAAAATAGTAAAATATAGAATACAGATGAGGATATCAGTTACTAATCTGGATTGAAATTATTGGATTCTAATATGAATAAATATTGAAGTAACAATAGATATACTTATACTGTTCAATGTATACTTGTCAAATCAAATAAGGCTGGAAATAAGTGAAAATAAGTAAAAGTATGCAATCAAGCAACCCGACAGACAGCTTGTTTTCATTCTTTGTATGCTTTTTATAAGTTGCTTTTGTTATATTTTGTAATTGTACAAAGTAAAACCATTTATTTATTCAGGAAGGAGATGGTCCGGGGTGGCGGTCATAAATAGGCTGAATAGTGGCAAAATCATTTTATTAAAAGCCTTGGCTTTTAATGAAATAGTTTGGCACTATTTAGTCAATTTATGACCGCCACCCTGGACCATCTCCTTCCTTTATAATGCAATGGTCAACTATTCAATATTCAACATTTATTTATTCATATATCACAGTCATGAACACTATGTGTTTTGTTACTTTTGGATCAGAAATGATAGATATTTTATGAGAAGGAGTTAGTCGAGGGTGCGGTCAAATAAATAAAAAATTAAAATATATTAATTATTTTAATTTTTGCCGACGTTTCGACCAACTTTGCAGGTCGTCTTCAGGGCTACAAAAGATACAAAACATGTTGAAAATAAAAAATAAATATAAGTATATATAAAATTAGAAGAAGTTGTCAGATACAGAAATAAAAGATGGTATCAGAGATATAGTGGGTGACAATGTAGTTAAATTTTAAGAATTATATATGTAGAAGATACAAATAAATGGAAAATAAGTAGGAATAAAAATAAAAATAAAGGAGAATATAGCATGTAAGTTAAAAATAAACAGATTGCGATAAAAGATAAGGAATAAGTGTATAACAAACTAATAGAGATTACATTAGATAACTGTGGGTTAACAGATAAAGGAAATAAATACATGAATGTTAACGAATAAATATTCGTTAACATTCATTTATTCGTTAACATTCATGTATTTATTTCCTTTATCTGTTAACCCACAGTTATCTAATGTAATCTCTATTAGTTTGTTATACACTTATTCCTTATCTTTTATCACAATCTGTTTATTTTTAACTTCCATGCTATATTCTTCTTTATTTTTATTTTTATTCCTACTTATTTTCCATTTATTTGTATCTTCTACATATATAATTCTTAATATTTAACTACATTGTCACCCACTATATCTCTGATACCATCTTTTATTTCTGTATCTGACAACTTTTTCTTATTTTATATATACTTATATTTATTTTTTATTTTCAACATGTTTTGTATCTTTTGTAGCCCTGAAGACGACCTGCAAAGTGGGTCGAAACGTTGGCAAAAATTAAAATAATTAATATATTTTAATTTTTTATTTATTTGACCGCACCCTCGACTAACTCCTTCTCATATTATATCAACGGTCAACCATCTCTACATCGATAGATATTTTATTTCTACATTCTCCACTCAAACATTTAATATGTTTTCCTTAGTTTTAATACAAAGACTACTAAGTGCTGTTTGTTAAACTAAGTAAAATAACTTATTCCTTTCCATCAGAACAACCAAATAGCCACAAATTAGCTATAAATAATAGCTAATTAAAAACTTTTTTAATTGAAAGTTCTATCCTAAAAATAAAATATGAATGAACTACCTGTCCATTAGTTATAACAATATCATGCATTCTACACCAATCTTCTTCATTTGAGTCAACAGCCATAACCATATCATCATAGACTTGCTTTTGGGATAGATGGTCAAACTCATATTCCATATTCAGATCTAACCATCCAATTCATAAAGCTACAAAAAATAGCTGCTATCTATTTACAAATTAAAGTTACCCTGTAATAGTAAGTAAATTTAAATAATTAATAGTAAAATTTATTACATGTACATATTAGGGGTAAATAAAATAAAATAATTATAAAAGAGCTAATAGAATTATTTTAAAACTATTACATGACACTTTTGATTAAAAATCCATAAAATATTTTCACAACACTTCAACATTAATTATTTAAATTATGTTGATACAATAAACTGGTGAAATTAAAAAATGCTTTGAATCAATTATTTGTTGATAAAATGTATGCATTGTTTTCACACCAAAAATCAGCCAATTTTCAATAAGCATCACTTAAACATAACTAATCCCAAAAGTATCATGTCTAATTAACAAAAGCATCCTGATTATCAAATTTAATTAGCTTCTACTTTTTATTCTCCGCAATTATTAATATTTTGGTTTGAAGAATGTCTGTGTTTTGTTCTTTCTCTATTTGATTTCATGGAATTTCTTTTTAAACAAAAATAAGGATGGTTATCACTCTTAACCTCTATGAATACCTATTTTAAATTCAGTTAGTGCATACATCAATTTAATGAAATAACAAAGTGAATTAGTAAATTTTAGGAACCGGAGGAATCAAATTTCAGTATTTATGCAATTCCATGCATTTTATTTATAAACAAGGCTTAATACCACAGAGACCAGAAAAGGAAAGATAGAGTTACTATAAGAACTAAACAAGTTTGATTTAAAAAATGTATAAGGGTGACATCAGTCTCCAAAATATTGGTTTGGCAAATGACTCCATTCTGTTTTTCTGATTATTTTTATGTCACGACCATACACTTCTTATCTAACAAATTAATCCCAAAGGTGGATTGTTCGTTCTATTTTAATATGTCAACAAACATTTCTGAAAACTTGTTAAAATTAGATCAGTATTGTGCTTACTAACTATTGCATGGTAAAAATGGAAGAAAATATCACTCCTTATTGATATACTTTGCTGTATTATTTTAAAGAAGATAAGTGTACTGAAGAAGCTAATAAAAAAAATTGCAGTGTTTAAGGGGGTGATGCCATAACAGGGTGTCCAGCGATTCCTCTTTAAAAAATTCCCATAAATTTCTTGTTTTTCCCAGATTTTCTCCGCTTTTTATAGATTCTTCCAGTAAATTTCTCAACTTCACATTTAATTTGTAATTACTTGTTAAGTGTAACTAATTAAGTAATTACAAATTAAAATAATGAGTACAGCTGCCTATAGTGTAATGTAAGCTCTAATTGCAAACTAAAGTCATGTTACACTTTTTATTTTATTTTATACAGTAATTTTATAACCATATACAGTACATTCCCAATAATCCAAGATGGTTAATCTGCCTTTAATTATTTGCTTTTACTATTTTAAAGCACCTTTTTAGTCCTATGATTCCCAAAAATAATGAACTGTTGCATTTTATAAAAGATCATCGGGGGAAGAGGTGTATTTTACATAATTTTTAGAACTAGAACATATATGAGGCACCTATGCATAGTGCGTTATGTGCAAAAATCATATTTATGGAAAAACACAATTGAAAGATTGAAATTTTCACAGGTGCAAGTTCAATTTTCAAGTTTCAACCCATGATTCACAAAGGAATGTTGATCTCTGTAATAGCCAAATAGCTTAACCCATTAGACACAAAGAAATAGAGAAAAATTAAATTTCTAGAGATGCTCATAAAAATTCACAAATTTGCACTTAACATAATTTTCACAGGTACCAAAGATACATATATATGAGAGGTCTGGAAACGTTTAATATATAAATTTATTATTATTTTTTTAAAGGGAGCCCCTTCATATCA